ATTTTCTATTTAATCATGATTTTTCTGATTTAATATGATTCATATGGTGTGGCTTTGTATGATGATGGGAATTGATCTAGAATGAAGCTAGAAGGTGTAAATTGTGGTTAATTGCAGGAAATTTCTGTTTTGGAAGGAAATTGTGAAAGTTAGGGTTTCATTCCCCCTCATTCTGCCTGGCACTGTTCATCATAGTTAGAGGCCGAATTAGCCTTGGATTAAAACAAGAAAGTTGTAGGGAATGATATTTTAGAGATGCCTACAAAATTTCAGGTCAATCGGAGTAGCGTAGCTTATGAAAAGACTGAAATACCCCTGCTGCCCTGTTTCTACCCGAACTTGGTAATCAGTTTTGGTAATTGGTTAATTTGATTGAGAATGCTTCTGATTTGGTTATTGACACCTTCTAAAGAAATGTATCCTGGTGTCGTATCTTTCAGATGGCTTTGGAATCACTTGATTTGGACTTAGGTAGCCTGACTTATGATGTTTGAACCAGAATGCGGTTTGTTAACCTGTTTTTACGGTTCTGGTTTAGTATATTGAATTTTTGACCTGGTTGCACTAGGAACTGGAGTGAGTAGCCTTCTTCAACATTGTAACCCTACCTCTTAGCTTCGAAATGGTGTGTATTACACCTCCATCCAATAATCGTAGTGCCAATGGTGCCAAAACCGCAAAATGACGTCAAAACTGTCTTTTGGTTTAGAGCTTAAGTCCATTTTCCGGATTTCCCTGGTTTACTCTCGGTGCTTATACATTCTTATGGAGCCCTATTTTGGTAGTATTTGAATTGGTTTATGACCTATAATCGAGTCTTATTTGATGAGAATATAAAGACCAAGCCCATTCAAGCACACGGGGAATTGCAAGATTCAAGTGAAGACTAGTTGATTGCACGCAATACTTGAGTTTAGTAGGATTATTTGATTTTCCTCGTTGATTTTGGTTATTTCTCACTTTAGAAAGTCTAGGTAATTAAGCTGGTTTAATTGCGGCCCATTTGTTAGTAAGTGATGCCCAAAATCTTCCTTAAGTATGTAGGGTAGTTTGGTCAATTTTTGGATTAGAGTTAATGCTTATAAGGGGCTATAAATGTAAAGTTTTAAAGTCTAAAGAAAGAGACTAACATTTTTCATGAAATCGAGTTCAAAATGTTCAATCGGTATCGAGAAAAGAAGGCAAGTTTCCAAAATCTCATTTCTAAGAAATTGTCAAATTTTAGCTTTGGGTGTCAATTCTAGAAAAATCGTATCTTGCACTACGTAGGTCCAAAATTGGAAAGCTTGATACCATTGGAAACTACATTCCGAGTACTACAAGTTTCTAGAAGACACTTTTCCATGATTCGAAATGGAAGGTATTCAAAAGTTGGATCAAAGTTACTGCTGTAGAATACTAAGACAGTTTCAAGGTTGGTTTTTGGCCAATTTTGGAAATTCAGTAAAATTCACTTGTTTTGAACTAACCTTTGAAATTTGGAAATCAAATAGTGTTGCAATCCAAGAGTATAACAAAACAAGCGGATTGAGAAACGGAGTTTCGAGCACCAAGATATAGTAGCCCCAAGTTGAGGAAGATTCAAGACTGAAGAAGAATTTCCAGTTTTGAACCTCCAACACTAGAAATTTAATTGGGTATCGAAACGAACTTGGATTGGTACCAAAATTGGCAGTATTTTACTCCCATATGAAAGGTACCACTCTATCAAATTTCAGGGAAAAATACTTTCGGTAAGATAGTTAATTAGTCAACCAAAGTTCAGGAAAATTATAAGGCAATCTGCCTTGAGACTTTCATTACCCAATTCAAAACGTCTAATCAAGCAAACTATACAATCATGGTTCATTTGTGAAATAAAGGCCTAAGAAACATCCATAATGCCTTTGGTAAGTGTTTAGTATCAAGAACATCAATTAACAAGTTCACTCCAATATCTTGTTCCAAACCAGTCCAACATTAGGGTTTTTCCAAAACAGAGCAGTCCACTTGTTTCAGTCACAACTCAGTCAATTTAACTCGAAATCAAGCATGGCTTATGCCATTGGAAAATACGTTCATAGGGGTAAAATATCACAGAAGAAATCATTTCCAAATTCGGCACCAATCTGGTTCAAAATCGGGCATCAAGTTGCTGCCTGAACACTTCATTCCAGATGAACAGAGCAACAGGACAGCGAACTTAAAACAATTGGTTCGGCTTTCTCACAAAGAATCAGAACGTGCATTATATACCAAATTAAAGCCAGGAATGTCTAGTTTCCAACGCCACCAACGGCACATGATTTCGACATCGAGGACAGAGTTATAGCCAAAATACTACCACTGGTCAGAATCATACGCGAACAGTTTTCCAGATTGCTAGTTTCTCAAGAAAAATTCATTTGCTCAATCAAACCTCAATATTTTCCAATGAAATTTTTCACACATCTAATACATCCTATAAACATCTAATTCAAGCCATTAAACCATTAAAAATTGGCCTGGAAATGGCCGAACATGGCAGGGGCAAAATCGGAAGTTTTTGCTTCTTACACCCAATGAAGTTTCTACTAATTACCCACCACTAATGCATCATTATAACCACTAAACCAACAATATAATCACCATCAATCATCACATCAGCAACAATAACCCAAGTGTGGGAATTCCAAGAGCCCACTATCACATTTTACACCATACACAAGCTAACCAAATGCATGCATGAACTTAACAAGGTAAGATAGCTTCCAAACTTCAAGTTTTCAAGAGTGGATCATCACTTACTTTGGGTTGATGTTCAGCAGAATTTTCGGCCCTCTATTACCCAGAAAAACCGTGATTTCCAGCCCTTGTTTGCAGCTCAAAATGATCCTCAAGTGTCAAGCTAGGTGTGGTGCAAGTTTGGTTAATTTTGGAGATGATTTGGAGTGGTTTTGAGTGAGATTAGTGAGCAGAAATTTTGTTGCAAATGAGTTAGAGAGAGGAGGGAGCTGGCCGGCTGTTTGAAGCTCAAGAGAGAGAGAGAGTGATCAGATTTTAGCTTCCAAGAGAAGACATTAACTTGTGGCCTCAAGTCACCCATTAGTCAACTCACATTAGGGTGCGTTTGGCGCGATTAGGGCTCGATTTTCTCGCGCGTTTGGTTCACTAGTGCACTAAACCTCCAATGTATTTATATTCATGTAGATAATATTCACTCTTAATTGTCCCGAAATAAAGGTCTAAAGTCCCTCAAATAAAGTCGCGCGTGTGAAAACGCGTACCGTCAATTTTTTACGCTATAACGCGAAACCTCCGGGAAATTCTTATAACGATAGTACTAATAACTATCACTTGAGTATTTAAACATTAAAATACCGAATTTAGGTCCATTGTACATGTCTCCAATATTCCAAACTTATTGTACTCTCAAGCGGATAAAATCTTCAAGCACTATTCACTGTTTTTACTAAACGCGCTCCAGGAAATTAATTCATGAAATGAGTTACTTTAAAAATATAACGAAGTTATATTACCATGTATTTAGGTCTAATAAGACTAGAAAATATTCCTCGAGGCAAATATCCAATTAAATAATTTATTAAGCCACAAATTAGGCTAAAAAAATAATAGTTTTTACGAGTCATCACACTTGTGCTGTACCTGTGATACTTGTCCCCAAAAAGGATGGTACTTGGCGCATGTGCACTGATTGTAGGGCCGTTAATGCAATTACCATTAAAAATCGTCATCCCATTTCTAGACTAGATGATATGCTTGATGAACTTGATGGTGCTATCATATTTACTAAAATTGATTTAAGGAGTGGCTATCATCAAATAAGGATGAAAGAAGGCGATGAATAGAAGACGGCCTTCAAAACCAAACATGGTCTCTATGAGTGGCTAGTCATGCCTTTTGGGTTGACTAATGCCCCTAGCATCTTCATGAGGTTAATGAACCATGTTTTGAGGCAGTTCATTGATAAGTTTGTTGTTGTTTACTTTGATGATACATTGATATATAGTCGAAGCGAACATGAGCACATGGAGCATTCGAGACTAGTTTTTGAGACACTTCGAAAGGCGCGTCTATACATCAACCTTAAGAAGTGCACATTTTGTACTAATGAGCTTGTGTTTCTAGGCTATGTTGTGAGTTCGCAGGGCATCAAGGTAGACCAGTCCAAGATCGAGGCCATCAGGCAATGGCCCACACCCAAATCCGTCCCTGAGGTGCGGAGTTTCCATGGGTTGCCGGGCTTCTACCGGCGATTTGTCAAAAATTTCAGCACCATTGCTGCCCCATTGACCGCCGTGACAGAAGAACGATAAATTCCATTGGGGAGAAACCCAAGAACAAGCCTTCCTTACCCTCAAGGACAAACTCACACATGCACCAGTTTTAGCATTACCAAATTTTAACAAGACCTTTGAAATTGAATGTGATGCTTCTGGTATAGGTATTGGTGCCGTTCTCATGCAAGACAAGAGGCCCTGTGCATTCTTTAGTGAGAAGCTGGGAGGTGTTGCCCTTAACTATCCCACGTACGAGAAAGAGCTCTATGCACTTGTAAGAACATTGGAGACTTGGCAACACTACCTCCGTCCTAGGGAGTTCGTGATACACACTGATCACGAATCGTTGAAGTTCCTCAAGGGGCAACCCAAGCTAAGCAAGTGCCCTGCCAAATGGGTAAGTTTCATTGACACCTTCTCTTATGTCATTCAGTATAAAATTAGCAAAACGAATGTGGTAGCTGATGTTTTATCACGTAGACATTCCTTGCTTGCTGTGCTTGATGCTAAGTTGCTAGGATTTGAAATGCTTAAGGACCTATATGCTTATGACACTGACTTCAGTGATATTTATGCATCTTGTATGAAGAGTCCACATGGGAAGTACTTCTTGCATAATGGGTTTTGTTTTATGTGGGTAAGCTCTGTGTGCCTAATTCTTCCATTCGTGATCTTTTGATTAGAGAGGCACACAGTGGTGGTCTCATGGGACATTTTGGAATTGTTAAGACTCTAGCCATGTTACAAGAACATTTTTACTGGCCTCACATGCGTAGAGATGTTGAACGCATGGTTGGTAGATGTGCCACCTGTCACAAGGCAAAGTCTAAAACAAACCCATATGGTTTGTATCCCCCGCTGCCCATTCCTCATTATCCTTAGGTAGACTTATCAATGGATTTTGTCTTGGGACTACCTAGGTTACCAAGGGGTAATGATTCCATCTTTGTAGTGGTTGATCGATTCACTAAAATGGCTCATTTCATCCCTTGTCACAAAACCGATGATGCATCTCATATTGCTAATTTGTTCTTTAAAGAAATTGTCTGTGTGAGAGCCCGTAATTTTTGTTTTAAAGTACTAAGTTTTATTTTTCTTTTAATTGCACGTTTTTCCACATTTTATTGATTTGAAAAATTGTGAAAATAATTTTTATGAGTAAATAGAGTTTTTAGGTGATTTTTCTAGTATCGGATAGTTTTTGAAAAATTTAGAACGTATAACGGACGTGGGACCCGCTAATGCGAAAAGTTCGGAAAAATTCGGCCAGTTAGGTTAAGTTTTGGATACTGGGTTTAATTTACCGGGTGTTATGAGATATTTAGAGGTACCAAGTGCATAGGTGTGAGAAAGACAAAAACAAGTTAGGCATGAATTAATGAGAGGGACATGTGTCACCATATGATTAAATCTTGTTTTGACTTACTATTCAACCTTTTACCAATTACTAAATAAAACCAAAAATTGACCAAATATCTTCCATTTTTCTTCAAGCTTGGCCGAATTTCTCTCTAGGAAAGGAAGAAAGAAAACCTCTTCAACTTCTTGATTCTCTCTTGCTCAAATCCAAGAATTCAACCATCTAAACTTGTTTTTGTTCCATAGAAACACTTAAGGGAGTGATAGTGAGTTGTTTTGTGGAGTTATTTGGAAAGCTAAGAGGACCAATAACTCTCTCTCTCTTGTTTCTAAGGTAAGTTGTGAAGAACCACTTTCCTTCCTTGATTGATGCTTAAATCATGCTTAGTGGTAGTATGAGATGCCATTTTATGGATTATATTTTGAGTTGTGGTTGAATTGATGAACTTTTATATTTTTTGGGGATTTTTCTGTTTTAATATAAGCATGATTGTGTGGCTATCTATGATGATTGGAAATGGTCTATAATGACTTAAAGAGGTGGGAAAAGTGATTAATTGCAACCAATTTCTGTTTTGGAAGAAAATTGAAAAAACCTAGGGTTCTTAAGGAAACATTCTGTCCGAATTTTTAGGTCCAGATAGAGGCCGAATTGGCCTTAGCTCAAAACATTAAAGTTGTAGGGAATGACATTTTAGAGGTGCCTACAAAATTTCAGGTCAATCAGAGTAGTGTAGAATGAGAAAAGTCGAAATTACTATTGCTGTTCTGGTTTTACCCGAAATTGAGAACTGCGCCTGTAATTGGTTGTTTTGCCTGGAATTTCTTCCGAATTGGTTGTTGAGGCCTTCTGATGAAATTTATCCCTGTTTCGTATCTTTCATCAGGTTTTGGAATTTCTGGATTTGGACTTGTATAGCCTGAGTTATGATGTTTCCGCTAGAATGCGTTTTGGTGAATCTGTTTTACGTTGTTGATGTAGTATCTTGCATTTTTGAGCTGTTTGCACTCAAAACTGGGTTGAGTGACATTCTGGGATGTTGTAGACCTGTCTTTTAGCTTCGAGATGGTGGGTCTTGCACCCTCATCCGATAAGCGTAGTGAAATTTGTGCCATTACCGCAAAATGAGGACAAAAACTATTTTTTCAGGGCCAAAGCTAGTTACATTTCCGAAATTTCTGGTTTCCTCTAATTCTTATATATGCTTATGGAACCCTATTGTGATCGTGTTGGCATCGGTTTATGACTTGTAATCGAGTCTTCTTGTGCTTATTGGAATATTCTAGGGCTTGACTTTTATTTCCGGTCATTGTCCTAGCTAACTTTTGTACTTGGATAACCTTGAGCCTATTGAACGGCTGTGGTGATGAATGTATATTGAGTATGACTTTGGGAGTTGATTGAGGAAAATAATGAAGCCGTGATGGCTGGAAAAGTAAGAAATTTAGGGGAAGTGCTGTCAAATTTTTCTAGGCCAATTGGTTCCTTTAAGTTTGAATTGGCTTGTGATAGAAATGAAGGGCTTTTGGGTTGTTGAACCTAGGTCTTCATGTTACCTTTTTATTCCCAAAAATCATGTTTTGTACCCTTGCATTAGTAATTATTTGGCGAGGCATACGACTAGTAGTCGAGCCTCACATGTGTATTTTGTTTACTCGAATCTGGATGTGAAACCTTCAATTGGTTTACTTTGATTATTTAGGGTTTCTTGGCGATTAAAGCCAATCCGAAGTGAAAACTTTTGAGGTATCTGTACTTGAATCGGTGAGTGTACCACTCCCCTCCATTGCTGTTTAACTTGATTTCTGCTCTGCAATCTGTTTAATTTGTTTGAGACGAGGGTGTACTTTATCACACTCGTTCTCTTGTCTGTTCATATGCCAATTTTGGTGTCAATCTGAATCTGTATCTGTATCTAATATCTGTATCTGTATCTGTTCGGACGTCGTTTGGAAACTTATAACCAACGACCTTTCTGTGACCTATGGCTCAAATCCTGTGGCTAAGTTATTCGAGTCGGGCCGGCAAGGGCCTGGACGATTAGATAACGAACCACGGTAGTCTGTTTTGGGATCTTTGGGTATTGAGACCCTTGATTCCGGGTATACTCGAGTATTACCATTTCTGTTTCTGTTAAGGTGAGCGGGCCCGGTAAAGGGGTGTTTGGTGGACAGAATTTGGTGTAAAGTGGGGTCTACGGATGTGTTGGTTCTATATACGTTGACGGAGAGTCAACCGGCTTGGATCAAGTACTGCGCTGGAAAGCTGGCTCCTGAGAGCCACCTGTATCCTTCCTATTTGAGTTCTTGTGTTTACCTGTCTTACTTTATAGCGAGCATGCGTATCTGGTTTGTATAACATGAACTACCTGATTTTTCTGCTACATGTTTGGTACCTCATTGGGCGTAAGCTCACCCCCTCCTCGTTATCTTTGTTTTCCTTACAGGAACCTCTTTTGGAAATCATGATTTTGAGAAGCGAGTTGAGCTAGTTAGAAAATCTTTTGTTCTTTTGTATAGCTCCTCGAGAATGAGCAAACCCTAAATGTATTTCGTTTCACTGGTTCCATTTGAATTGTAAACCTAGTGACATGTATATATGAAAGCGTTTTCTCCATGTTTAAGCTTGGCGGTCTTCAATCGCTCATTTCTTTTGGGTTCTCTCGCGTAATATCAGATTTGTGTGATTCGACTCCGTAGTCCTGGCGAGAGCTGGGCAGGCGGTCCGCTGAACCCTTTGGTTCGCCTTAGGGTGAGGTGGGGCTGTCACAGTCTGTCTGTATGGTATGCCTAAAATCATTTTTAGTGATAGAGATGTAAAATTTTTGAGTTATTTCTGGAAGACTCTGTGGTCCAAGCTAGGTACTAGATTATTGTTCCCAACCACAAGTTATCCACAAAATGATGGACAAACTGAGGTTGTCAATCGCATACTTGGCACATTACTCAGGGCTTTGATTAAAAAGAATCTAAAATCTTGGGAAGAGTGTTTACCGCATGTGAAATTTGCTTACAATCGCACTGTTCATAGTGCAACACACTACTCACCCTTTGAGATTGTGTATGGTTTTAACCCCCTGACTCCCCTTGACTTGGCACCATTACCTTCCTCTGAGCACACAAACTTAGATGGAAAAAGAAAGCTGATTTTGTGTGTAGGTTACACGAGGTCGTTCGAGCAAACATTGAAAGGCGTACATAGCAATATATCCAGCAAGCTAACAAACACCGTTGTAAGATGATTTTTGAGCCTGGAGACTGGGTCTGGCCTACACTTAAGGAAGGAACGATTTCCTAAGCAGCGCCAAAGCAAACTATCCCCAAGGGGAAATGGACCCTTTAGAGTGCTCCAACGAGTCAATGACAATGCCTACAAATTGGAGCTGCCTGGGGAGTACAATGTTAGCACGACCTTCAATGTCACGGATTTGAACCCATTCCTTGAGGAGGATGATCTAGATTTGAGGGCAAATCCTTTTCAAGTGGAGGAGACTGATGTGTGCACAGATCTTGGCCCACGTAATGACCCAATTCGAGTACCATTGGGCCCAGTCACACGTGCATGGGCTAAGTAATTCAAGGAGTCACTCCAAGCCCTTGTGCGAAATGTTCAAGACCAACAAGGAGTCCATCGGGCCATTGAAGGTTTGGAAGGTGACAACCAAGTTATCTACACCCCGCTTCAAGCCCATGAGGAACCAAGAGGAGCCCGCGATCCCCTGAGTAGAGCCGGCCAAGTATGGGGCTTTATAGCCATGCATCTTAAGTCATTGGTTAGAATTAGTTAGTATGGAGTCATGGAATCGGCCCACTTAATCCAAGGTCTGGCCGAACCTTTATTACCTTTTTACTAGCATTAGGGTTTCGTTAGTTTGCCTATACTAAGGCTCACTTTGTAAGCATTAAGGGTAGACTCGATTGATTAATCAAATTGTTTCTTTTTTATTTTCTTCTTGTGAGAATTTCGTTCCTTTACTTGTTTTGGCGAGGGTGTTTGAGCAATCTCATGCTTGTCCAAGATTGTTCTATCGACCTATCCACTCGAGTAACCTCCTCGATTGGAGTCGTCATTTACTACCTTTTACCAATTCGTGTCGTCCGTGTTGGTTCTAGGTTCCGCAATCCAAGCGTTAAACAACCTCGCTAGATCCTTGGGCAATCGTGCTACGTGCCTCGAAATGAGTTGATCGAGGACCGTATCAATTTCCCTTTGAATTCTCTATTTTTCATCCTACACTTAACCACCAACATTCATTTAAAACAGCCACAATCACACACACAAATCATAGGCTAGTAAATACACTTCCTTAGGATCCCAATACCCTTCAATCACAATCAATTGTAGCTCCAAGACTAACCCTAATCATGCTCAAATTAAAAACCCTAAAGCTGAAATTTAACACCCAAGCTGAAAATTCCTTTAGGCAAATTAAACTAACACCAAAAGACT